ATATATATATATATATATATATATATATATATATATATATATATATATATATATATATATATTACTCGTATACCTAGGCAATTTAAAGCATTCAAATAAAATTGCATATAGACGTCTATGTCAATTTTGTCATCTCATTAAAAGTTTACTTAACATTGTTCCAATCTCGATGAAACAAAGATAATCATTCTTTGAATCGTATATAATAAACAAATACAGCCGTTAGTTTAAAGACTAGGATAGATATGATTTCTGTATTCAAAGAATTTCATATTATTATTATTATTTTTTTTTCTTTATAAAATCTATTACTTCCTTTCTTCGTAAATTTGAACGATTCGGTGTTATTATTTTCAATTCATTAAAACCACATTTTTTTCGTTTCACTTTGATGAAAATCTATATTGATAAATGATTCATATTATCTATATGTATGTTTGTATATTCAATCTGTCATCATCAGATATTAGTCTCAATTATTTGACAAGACAGAAAGTGAAAGTTTAGGATAGCTGTAAAGGGGCCACCCGAAAGAAAATGAGAATTCAAAAATAATTGTATATTTAAAAAAATATAAAAAAAAGACAAAAATGAAGTTGAACGTGGCCAAGCGTAAAGTTTAAATCCAAACTATTCTATTTCACTGTTCTGTCATATAAACACAAACATACACATAAACTTTAGACATTTGTTAATATAGATTATATATTTATATATTTTTGTTTTTGTTTTAATTTTAGTATATTAGCATAGCATCCTTTTCATCCTTTTTCTTCTTCTATTTCTTTTGTTATAATTCATATTGAATTAATTTGTTTATAGACAAATTTAAATACTAGCTTGTAATTTAATATTTTCAGCACTCCAATGTAATAATGCTCCTTGACAAACAATACTCCATACATAAGGAATAAAGAATTCTTCTGGTTGTTCTTCTTCAACATATTTAAATTTCAGTTCTGGAAATTTCTAAAAGAATATAATAATAATAATAATAATAACAATAATGTATATTTAAAATTATATAAATGGAAGAAACATCTTGGAGAGTAATATTTTTTGTACGTACTCTTAAACGATCACGAGGCCATTCTGTAACACCTTCCTGTATTATAGCTAATACCTGACTGACACCTAATTGAGACTGATCCCTTCGTTCTAACTTATATGAAAAGAAATCTATAACCTTAAAAAAGAATATTATAAATTGTTATTATTATTATTATTATTATTATTTAAAAAAAATATATATAAATCATTATTATAAATAGATTGTTTTATATGAACTTACAGGATCAATATTTTGCACGATATCTTGAAACGCAGAATGTAATCTAAACGGTTCAAAAATATCCTTTTCGCAGAATGTGTATAAAAGAGTATAAATTAAATTTGGATTCTCTGCAAGTCTGTGTGTCAGACAACTATTTATAATTTCGAGTACCATCCTAAGAACTTCTTCCAATATGGTCAAATCTTGTACCTGTTGGAAAATATAAATAGATATATGTTTTGTTATTAATTATTACTTACTAATATTAATTACTTACTAAATCTGCATTGGATACGGTCCCATTAACATTGATTGTTGTATTTTCAGTTGAAACAGTAGATAATGCTTTTATTTTTGCTTCCAATCTTGCATGCTTTCTTGCTACTGTTTCGAATAAACTTAATAATCTTTGACTAACGTAAGGATGTAATGACATAAACTGTGCAGACATATTAGCTAAGGCAGCTAAACAATTTGTATGCAAATATTTATCCTAACAGTATAATAAGATATTTGTTAATTGAAAATATTATTATCAAATAAATACAATTAAATTGTGCACTTATATGTATATATGTGCATATATATATAAATACCCTCATTTTAAACATGTTGTATTGTATTGTCCTTATAACAACAAGAATAAGTAATCCACCTAATGATATTTCACTTATAGATCTTTCAGTATACCAAGTTATACCTTTCAGCATCTGTAAAGTATAATATCAATTATATTTTGAAATTGTATACACAAACAGTTTAAAAATGAAATATACATAATTACATACGTAGAAAATAATTTGATTTTAGAACTTACAATTTCGTGTATTCTTTTATTGAATGTTTCATCTTCGCTCAAGATTAAAAGAATTATAAGTGACATATAAATATGATGAGATGTATTATTTGGTGCATGATACAGTATTTGTAATATTGGTGTTACCTAGACAAAATAATTTTATATTAATATGATATATACATTTTTTCAATGTATTGCCTTATTTATATATATGATTTTAAATTATTACCAATAAATGTATATCTGATCTTCTCATTATGTCGTGTTTCACATTTTGATTTCTATGCAATAACATATACAGTAGTAACGTGACTTCATCGGTATTTTGTATTTTACAGATTGTACTATATAATTTATTTAAATTAAATCTAAATGCAAATCCATCTATTTGAGTATAGTCATCTATAAATAATTAATATACGTTTTAATAGTTTCAATTAAATATTTTATTACTATCTAATTATTTTTATTAAAAAATATTTACCTTGCATATCTGTAAATGTGAAAAGTGCATTTCTATAAGGATTTTGTGTTGCAGTACAATGATTTGTTAAAACTAATAACAATAACAAAGATTGACTAGCAAGAGGGGTTTCTGTATCTCGTTTCTTTTCTTCTTCTTCCGTTGCACCATTGCTTAATATTTGTACGTTCTTCGAACTATGACCCATGCCCATTGTAATTACATTCCACAATCCAGCTGAAAAAATTGATTACATTTTGAAACATTATAAAACATTTAACAAATATCATATATATATACATATAGATATTTTATATACATTAACTTACCAGCTATACTGAAAACTATACTACCACCTGGTTGTTGTGAAAATAATCCTGCCGGTGCATGTTGTTGTTGTACAAAGTTATGTAATAATGTACATACCAAAGTTGGTGCATGTTCGCTACTTTGAGCATGCATTGCTATTCTGTAAACAGGACTGTATTCCGCAGCAGTTTGAGAAAATAATTGTACGGAAAGAAGTACAAGAAGACAATTTATTGCTTCCAAATGAACGATATATGTAAATTCACTGTATACAGAGAAAATATATTATATTATTACAAGTAATTTAAAAGTGAGATTTAATTTGAACATTTTTTTGTTAATACTTACCATAAAGGTAAATCTGTTATAAGTTCTAATAATGATTCAAAAAGATCTTCCAATCTATACGAAGATGTTGACTGTGTTCCTGCAGATACTCCAGTTGCTTCTATATGTTTTATCATTTCCTCTTCACCGACAGTTTCAACGAGATATTTTAAAAAACATCTTACAGCAAATAATGCATTATATGTTTGCCATGCGGATACTATGCTGTAAACAAAATATTTTTATTTTAATTGTTTCTATGATAATATCTATATAAAAAAGAAAGTAATAACATTATTTACTTACTTCTGATTTTGTACAGGTGCAAGTAACTCGCTTATACGTATAAGTGTAACTTGTATCAAGCTACCAAAATTTCCTGTTGTTGGATTATTATTCAATAATTGTTGACAAGCGATATCTAATTGCGAGTCAAGTTCTATTTGATCATTCCTTGTTATTGGTGGTCGCATATTGTAAGATAAGAACGAACTCCAAAATGCATCATTTGGAGGTATTGGTTGTTTTCCACAAAACTTTTCCAAATGTTCATTTTTTGAAAAATCTTCATAACGACTTGGTGTTATACCCATTGCTGTATCTTCTTAATTCTGTATATATACATTTTAATATTATCAATATTAAAACAAATATCTCGTTTATAATTCATTAGATAAAGTAAAGACAATTAGAAAGTCAACTTTGACAGAAGTTTGATATAACCTATAAAAATAATAATCATAGAACTACGAAATTTGGTACAAATAAAAAAAGTAATATTTCATTAAGTCAGTATAAAATATAACGTTGACATTATTAAACATGTATATGTATAAATATATATAAATTAAAAACACTAGTGATGTGATGTAAACGAAGTTAAATGTATGACAGCAAATCCGGAAGATAACCTCATTTTATACCGTATACGGAATACAAGAAAAACTATCACTAATATTTTACATAAAACGTAATTTATGAAAATATTTATTATTATTATTAAATGAATAATCGAGATGATTAAATTAATGTGACTTACGTGTTAAATAATCCGAGAAATAATCGGCACTTACTAAATTAGAAAAAGAAAGCAATTGATTCGTACATAACACCTGAAAGGAATATTTTGCACTGTGAATGTTTAAGTACCGTGATCTTATAGGGCACTGCGCTGTTACCGTTAAAATCGACTACTGTATAGATGTATTATATACATTTAAATATTTTTTTGTCACTTTTTAATATTATTCACATGCAATATAATTGTTATTTAAATTATTATATGTACACTATCGATTAATATATCGATTAGTTCAATACGATGCATTTTTCGATTTATGGCAGCACGTAGCAAGAGATTATAAAAGTAAGATCTTATTGTATATGCATATTTTTGTTTGATAATTGTTAATAACAAATTATCAAATTAATAATTCTAATATATTAAATTTAATCTAATTTTGTTAATTAACAAATCAATTATATAATATTAATTAATTACACGTATATATTCATAATTTTGTAGAAAATTTAATGACGTGTGTATTTAAAAAGTTTATATTAATTTCAAAAAAACCGCCATATTTTACGAGAATTCATTTTTCCCGCGTTTCAAAGACAAACGGTTATCTTCAGTTGATTTTATTTCGAAGGAAAACATGTATCGCGATAATTTCTTTTTAGAAAAAATTAAATGTCAAGATTTATATTTGCAATACGAAAAGTTAATAAAAGATAATATTATCGGTATACAGAAGCAGAGTTTTCATTTGAGGAATTATTTGTTACGTCGAAAGAAGGAGATCGTCGAAATTATTAAGTAAGTTTGTTATAATTCAGGTAAGATTCTAATACTTTTTCTTTTTTAAATAAATTTTACATAAAAATCCTGTATATTTCGTCTATCAGTAAACAAAACGATAAGGACGAACCGATAGAATTAAAAACATTACGAAAACTTTATGACGATGTACAAAATGAATTGATATCTATCGAAGAAGATTGCAATAAATTTTGGGTAGAAATGAAATTAGATTTATTATTAGAAAATAAATCGAAATCCGAACCATTGTCGGATAAATTTTCAAAAAATGTTAAAAAAATGTACGATGAGTATAAAAATGTTTTATTAAAAAATGACGAAGATATTTTTATTGAACGTTGTCATTGTATGTGGAAAAATATACCTGAATCAATTGTTGACGATGAAACGATTAAATCAGAAAAATTGGATTACGTAGTAACGAAATTTGACGATACCGATTTAAAATTGAAACAAGATTTAATGGATTTACGAAGAAAAGTTTTCACTTTGGTCAACGACGAAACAAAACCGTATGTCATATTGAAATTTTTTCAGTAATTGCGTATAAACAATTGTTATATAAAAATATATTTATTATTGATAATAGAATTTGTCAACAAATAGAAATGGACAATGCAATTTTACCGACGAATAAAAGTTATATTCAAATTCTTAGAAAATACAACAATTCGTCAATTGATTCAAATAAAATCAATTTATTACAAATTCATAGTTTAAAATATATCAATGGAGAATTAATAAAAAACGAAGGATGGTCTACTGTTCTTGATATTAATGGTAATCAACTTAGATCTAAATGGTATTTTGTTGTGTCACCGCAAATAGAAAAATTATTGAAGAAACGACGGATATATTCCCTTCATTTGGATCCATTAAGGGTTTATAATTTTCTATTATCCATACCTAAATGTGGAATACATTTTGAATTGTCGAAGAAAGATCTGTTTTCTTTATTGCAAAATGTTGACGAGGAAGGACCTTGGTTGACAAGTTGGAAACCACAATTAAAAACTGTCGACAAAGAGAAAATAGCCGCCATTTTGATTCAGTCTTGTTGGCGTGGTTATTTGGTAATTATTAGATTAATGCAAAAATAATCAACACTTTAAATATATTATATTTAAAAATACACATTAAATGATTAACATTGAAAAACATTTAATTTGCTTTTTATTTTTTCATGATTGTATTAAATTGAACATAACTAAATAACTAGAAGACCCAACACTACATTTAAAATAGTAGAAATTACAATTATTTTTGCATTAATTTAATAGTGTAATAATTACATTATTTATTATATAATTTTAATAAATTATTTTTACAATTTGTAGCTTCGTAAACAATTAAAGGAATCATATCGTCTTTATATAGCAGCTAGCGTATTATGGTACAAATGGTTATCGATTAGAAACAAACGTAAGGTGCAAACTACATATTTGGAAAAGATGTTATCATCGTTGAAAGTAGTTCGAAAACTTAATGAAAAATTTATGGACGAATTTAACGATTTAATAAGACAACCACACGTAATTATTCATTTACCATCGATTGGTTATCCCGTTGATATTCGTCGAACGTTTACTCCACAAATGCTTGCTATTTATCAACATACAATGAGTTTGAGATTATCCTTTTTACGTAATCCAATGTCTGAAATGATTTATATTTTACCTATTGAAGTTACACAAGATTTTCTATCTATGTACGTTGACATAATCGATTCAGTAATTTCACAAGAACGTACAGGGAATCGTATAACATTTCTTCCCCTTTCACAAGCTAAAACACTTGAACGTACTCACATGAACGTATCCAGGATTTTACATTGTTCAGAGGATACTTTGGTTGCTATTAGAAATAAAATCAATGGAAAATCAGCATACATTTTACCATGGATTATCGATGAATGTGATGTTAGAATATCGGACAATTTAGGTGTACCATTGTTAGGACCGGATATGTTATTGCAACAAAAATTATTAAATCTATCAAGAATGTGTGAGATAATAGATGATCTTGGTTTGCCACAGCCAGCACATTCTAAAGATATACGAGAATATTCGACGCTTTGTTCCAAACTAGCCGAATTAATCCTATTAAACACCGATATTTGTTTATGGTTGATCAAAGTGAATTTTGGTTTACAGACTAAGCACTGTGGTATATTTTTGATCAATCACATTAGTATACCATTCATGCCTGCGATTAGGGAAACAAGAAAACGTTATGGCAACGAATGGTTAACTAATTCTCATGTACGTGAAGATTATTTAAATGCATTGTTAATTCATTTAACAAAAGTCCTTTCCATTGTAACATATTTTAACGATGTTTATTATCGTTCCTGGAAAGATTTTTACGATCACGTACAAAAATTTGGATGTTTGTTACAAGCTGTACCAAAGGAAAAAAAATCAAGTATTATTACTTTGTCATATTTTGTTCCAAATAAGAACACCATGAAACCGGTCAAATTGATTGGTACTTCGAATAAAATACCATTAGGTATTTTTATTATAAATACAACAATTCTTTTATTTTTTGTTTTGTTTTTGAAATATTAATATTTATATAATTTTTTATTCTTATAGATGTTAGCTTTTCATCGTTTGCTTATATGTTACCACAAACTTCGATAAATATAGAGATTTTAAATCCAAGTGTAAATAAAGTTGCATATAAATTGCAACAACTTGGATATTTTGGATATTTAACAGTAGATTGTTATTGTTATTTTGATAATCATGATGAAAACATGAACGTTTTATTACTCGATGTAAATCCTTATTATTCTCATTTACAACAATACATTGATTGGATGAAATTTGTTATCGATGGTGGTTACAAGTACGATTACATTTCAAAATATTATTTACGTTAATTATAATATTTATTTATTATTAATAATTTGATTAATTAAATAGTTCAACGACAGATACATTTAATGCTAATGTCGTTACGCAACAATATTATAAAAAAAGAATTACAAATACGTCAATAAACGATACGGAATGGGATGAAATTACTGAAAGAACTGCAATAATAATCTGTGATTTGTATCATGAAAATTTACCTAATTATACTTGGGCTAAATTAAAAATTCTTATGGAAGATATTGGAGTATATAATATATAATATAATTAATTTATATAAAATATGTATATATATAATAATAATAATAATAATAATAATAATAATAATAATTTAATTCTTTTTTTAGATTATATACGAAGCTACAAAAAAAGAAGGTTATCATTTTATTTTACACGATAGCGAAATTAAAGATACTGGCACCATGACAATAGTTACACCCAACATGAATATGACATTATTAAAGACGTGTAATATTTTAAAAAAATTATCTCAAGCTTTATCAACCAAAAGAAAATCCAAAACGAATATGTCTAACATTGTTGAATTTTTTGAAAAATTTGCATTAAATTATCACGATTTATCTCGTGATCCGTGCAAGTAATAAAATAAAAGCTTATCCAGATATGTTAATCGTATTATTATTTAAACGAAAAGTAAAATATTATTTTTTTTTTTTCACGATAAAAATATAATAATACGAATACGAAAAATATAAATGAGTAAAAAAGATTATTAGATTTAATTTAATATTTCATAAAATTATACGTCGGACATATAATGAATTTTATTTTCTTCTACGATTTTCGTACAAGGTCCACGACGTATTCCACGAATTCGTTTGAATTTTTTCGGTGAAATTGGTTTTATTAATTTCGGTTTTATCAAACCAATTTCTTCTTTACATTCCTGTTAATAAATAATTTCAGTTGAATTGTATTCAACAGATTTAACAGAACCTGATATGTGACTAAAAGTTTTGATTACGTTAACATATTTTTTTTTTTTTTTTTTTTT